CTAAGAGACTGCGATTTTGATCCGATGAGACTAGTCACAATTCACATCGAGGAATTTGGAGGACCGTGATAGAAGTCCACCAAGCGGCGTCCATATGTGGTGGTAAAACCTTGTGTTTGTATCTTTTTGCAGGAAATCTTCAGTTTGCAAATACGATGTTTGTGTAAGATGTTACGAGTTCTTTGAAACACAGCACTTTTTGTGCACGTTTTGCACTACTGAGGGATTTCAATGAGAACCTTTTTCTCTGTTGTGATTTCCATGCATGTAGCTTGTCATTCTTTTTAGGGTTTAATTTTGTTGTTCCTGGAGCCATTTTTCCAGATGACTGTGTACAATAATTTCTCGAGGTTGTTAAAAATTTGATAAGACTTCTCAATGGAATTATTATACTAAAGATAGTGACTTTATTTGCTTATGGATAAAATATTGAAGGGCCCGTTTGACATGATTTTTAAAAAGTCAAAATTAGGACATGTTTGACTAATTTTATGAAAGTATTTTTTCTAGTTAGAAGAATTTTTTGAGCACAACTGATCCAACGTGACTTCCTTTAAAAGCATTTTTGAAATATGAAGCTTTTTTAAAATTTAATTTTCAAGCAAAAATTAAGACAATTTCTTCCAAAAGCTTTTTGACACGAAGTAAAAGCAAAAAATAAAAGTCATCTCAAAGTCAAATAGATCTTAAACATAGGCAAGTACAAAAACATTCTTTTAATATTTCCTATACCTAATTAAGGGGGTGTTTGACATCCATTTTAGTAGAAAAATGTGTTTTTGAACTGTGTTTGATAGAAGGATGTGTGGTTAAAAAGTAAGGAAAATTTTTAGATTTATTTGTAATATTATTTTATTGATAGAATGTGGTTGAAATGAATAAAGAGAAAAAGAATGAGAAAAAAATGGGTGCTAAACATGAGCTAAATGAATAAAATTGAACTCTTTTAAGTAACAAATTTGTGCTTATCGATCAAGAGAACAATTGAATCTTGCAGGAAATATCTTGAAAGATAAAAATATCAAAATGGTCGAAAAGGTAAAATAATCATAATTTTTTATAAAAAAAGTTCGAATTGAGATCCGTTAAGTTTGTTAGAATGGATCAGGCTGCATGTACCGAATGTTTTTACCGAATCTTTTACCTGATACTCACAATGGATGTGAGGACCACATTGTTGAAAATTTTAAATACACGCGAGCTCGTGCATTATGTGAGAGGAGATAATCCATTATGTACAAATGGATTAACCCTTGTTAGAATGCTCACTTCATAACATTATTTGCGTACAGAAATATGTTTTTATTATTCTCAGAAATCAGTTAAAAGTAAACCTAAAATTCAATATCTTTGAAAATTCCTCTCACTCTTGACCTTTTCATTCTTTTTGCACTTTCGTTTCCAATCTTTTTTGCTGAATTGGCGATAAATTTTATTATTGAAAAAAAATTATAATAATAAAAAAAAACGAAAAAGAAACTATGTTTGATCGCATGTGGGGGTGGATTAGGATGGGTTTGGGTGAGCTTAGTTGGGGTAGATGAAAGTTTACTTAAATTCTTTTTTACATGTATTTAATTATTTTAAATGAGATTTATTTGTAATTTTTTAAAAAATAATGGGACACCATTTGCAATTTTTTCTTATTTTTATGTTTTACAATTATCTTTTATTTTGTTTATTTACGAGGAGGGTAAATTCATAATTTAATGATAAAAAAGGAGGGAACGATTATGCTAAAAATGTTTGAGGGTAGATTTGTTACATTTTGTAAAAGTTGTGGGGAAGAAGTGAAAATTTCCATTAATATAATTTACCTAAAATAAATTTCAACTTATTTTATAATTTCCCGCCTCTCTCGGTCTCTTTCTCGAATTGGCACGCTCTTTACTTATTTCTAATATTTTTTCAGACATGAAAGAGAAAAAAAAAATGGAAAAAGATAGTGAAATGAAGGCATCGATTCCAGGATCTAGGCAATTGAATCTGAAAAAATCATTCAAGCGCGCATTACATTCCTTATTAACTGCTTGCTCCAAAGAGGTTGATTTTTTTTTTACTAAATTATAATATTTGAAGTGTTTTTTTTTATTTCAATTGAATCAGTTTCTGATTTTT